AAGTATGGCGATAAACTTTTCAATCCCCCTAGATACAAACTGAAGACACCAGCAGGTCAGTTTACAGGTGAGATCTGCGAAGAGGTAACCCCACTCATGGTCAGAATGAGTGTTGAGTTAAAAATGCGGCCATGTTCACGTTTTATTTGGTTAGTTTGTCCATTTACACATATGAAGTGTATGGTTTTAGCCCAGTCTAGTCCTGATGTAGACTTGGTTTGGTCATGTTCTAGACCTGGTTTAATCCCGGTTTATTCTAGGTTTAGTTCCAAAATGGTCAAGTTTTTGTTGCAGGGTCATGGAAATCCTAGAAATGTAATGGAAATTGAAAATGTAGTATCTCGGCTACATTCTCTTTCACGCGACTACATTCTGTGAAGTTATCATTAGACTATTATGATTATTTCTGAACGTCTGTGTTCAGATTCTCAACTTGTTTCATGCATTCTGGTTTACGTCGGAAACTGTATAAAGAAATGAACTTAAAGAGTGCGCTTGTGTAACTTTTCTGGTAGAGGGTGCGCCAGTTTGTTGTTGTAAACTTTTCAATCCCCTCTAGAAACAAACTGGAGACACCACCACCAATTTCCATCAATTTATAGGTGAGGTCTACGAAGAGGTGACCCCACTCATGGTCAGAATGCGTGTTGAGTTAAAAATGTGGCCATGTTCACGTTTTATTTGGTTAGCTCTGTCCATTTATATACATGTTAGTGTACTGTTTTAGCCCAGTCTAGTTCTGATGTAGACTTGGTTTGGTCATGTTCTAGACCTGGTTTAATCCCGATCTCGTCAAGGTTTAGTTCCGAGATGGTCACAGTTTTTATTGCAGGGTTCCCACGGTCATGGAAATCCTGGAAAAGTCATGGAAATGTAGTACCTCTTTCATGCAGCTACACCGTTCTGTTAAGTTCTCATTAGACTATTATGATTATTTCTGAACGTCTGCGGCTTTTGTTTAAACGAGACGACAATAAATGCACTGACAGTATTTTAAATGTTAAAAAACTATAAAACCAAACCATAAGTTGAGGGAAAAGGGTTCACATTTCATATTTAGCCCTAAAAGTCTGATCAATTCTACACATGTAGGTGCCGTAAAGTCATGAAAAATTCACTTTAGGTCCTGAAAAAGTCATGGAAAGGTTTTGGAATTTTGTCAGTGAAAAAGAGTGGGAACCTTGTTATTTAAAATGGAAGTTTGAACGCAGAACATGCCCTAAAAGATGCCAATGGATCTGTGTGAACATTACCAAGAAAGACCTTTTATTGATTTATTTTTTAAATTTTGTTGCATATGTTTTGTTTCCTTTAAAAATAAATAGATAAATAAATACAATATTGCCAAATTGAGCTCCAGACCCAATTCAAAGACACGTTTAAAACATTTCTGCTGAAGGGTCCACCACCTGCTTGTCTCCATGGTGATGTCAGTACCTTGTCTGTAAAGTTCCACATTTAAATGATGGGAAAGGTAGGTCCAAGCCCAAGTTACTGATCAAATCTGCGGAGAGGTCACCCCAATCAAGAGGGGTGTCACCTGATAACTAAGTAAGTGCGTGATATATTAATGCCATACTGTGAAACATTACAAGCGAAGAAATTAGCTGACCCTCCACTAGAAAAATTACTCTCGCTCTTTTAATTTAAGGGCAATCTAAATTAAAATCTGAAAGAGATATAGAGTGCAACAGTGTTTTTTTTTGTTTTTTTTTCCAGTCAAATCAATTCAGATTTCTTTGCTCCTTGGAATAAAACGTGGAATAAAATTGTACTCACACACACTCACAAACACACACACAGTCATGTTCAAAGCATAGCAGCAGCTTGTACTTCCTTGCATGTAACTTTAGATTCCTGGGCTGCCAGTCTGAAGGCATGGACGTGGACTCTGTGGAATCTGGATATGTGTCTCCGTGTGTGTCCCCCTCCTCCGCTCATGTCCTCCCTGTTGACGTCTGCGCCCCATAGTCACCCTCACCCCCCCTCAACCCCATACCCCCCAGAGCCTAACCCGGAGCCTGCACACAATATCAGAGGAGATAAAGGACATACCTGGCGTGTACATGTCAGCCTGTTGAAATAACTTTGGACCACTGCAAACCGTTATAAATGAGCTAGTTCTGTTTGGTTATAACAATGGGGTATTACAATTCTATGGGGTATTTATTTTGCTAACACTTATATATAGATATAGATATAGATATAGATATAGATATAGATATAGATAGATAGATCATCGTGTGTGTATGTTGGCTTGAAAATTATGTTCGCCGAAACAATTAGGTTCAGGTTAATTAGGTTCAGTTTAGTTTTTGTTTCTCTGCTGTTCACTGTATACATAACTGTAAAGAGGGTTTGAATATTGCCAGGAGAGATCACAAAATTACTCAAACATGCATAGATGATTCAGGAATAATTTTGGGAACAATGTTATGATAGAAAGCAAAAAAAAAAAAAAAAAAAAAAAAGATTCAGATTACTAATGCACCATTTTTTACAACTCCTACCCTTGTTTAAATATATCTATGGTTTAAAAAAAATAAATTTTTATTAAACATCTGGTTTACTTGCTGGTTGGACATGGGTAGCAGATATGATGATAGGTTTATTTTGTTAAATAGAAGCTTAAACTGCCAAAAAAAATCTTCTTTCTTTTTGAGTTAAATAGTCTTTCCATTTGGGTGACATTTTTGACATTGGGTTGTACAAAAATAATGAAATATCGATATATCGTATCGTTTAATGTGATGATACAGTATCAGTGTCGGGGACTGCTGTATCGATATATCACCAAGTACAGTTTTGTTGCGTGTTCAGTGGAAGGAAACACATTTTCACTGTTTTGATGATTAAAACTGTGTGTTTTATATAGACTTTCACAAAGACTTAGTATCACAGCCATTGTTTATCCATTATTTTTTAATGAACTGTATCGAATTGATTTGAAATATATCGTATTGAACCGAAAGCGCACTGTTTTGAGATATGTATCGTATCGTGGCCTATATATCGAGGTATGTATCGTATCGGCAACTTCTTAATGATACCCAGCCCTACTGATGACATAATGTAAACGTATTCTGATTTAGAATTAATTTTTTAGCAAATTTAATTTTTTATTTTTCCCCACAAATGACACTTGACTGAGGTAAAATATGTACCACGGGTGATATCCCACCGAGCCAAGTTATAATTAGATAAACAGGAAAATATGTTGCACTTTAAATATTTATTAGGCTCTGAAATTAGGATTAGATTAGATGTACCTTAGTAAACACAGGTGAAGTTTCGTCTGCATTTTTAACATGTTATCAGTGACATCCATTCCACCCACAGCTCCCTGCTCACTGCCTGATCTGTCAGTATTTATTAATCTTAACGCAACTAAGCAAAACCCACACAGACATTACATTACAGCGAAAATGGCATCTCGTTCTGTCCCTTTGATTGGAACTACAGCAGGCTACCGTTGTGCCCAGAACCAATTACACTTTCTGCGAAAAGACATTGGCTGTAATTTCCTTGCATTACACCTGTTTGTCAGCAGTCGCCCCGAGCCGCTCGAAGCCTGCTTTCTGCACTTTCAATCCTTTTAAACCACCAAGGGACTTCAGTGTAGAGAACCAATGAGTTATGATGGCCCCTCCCTTCCCTTCGCTAACCCAGACCCCGCACCCGGTATCAGCGGGGATGGGGGGGGCATAGCTGGCGTGTGGGTGTCAGCCTGTTGACATGAGTACGAGTGTGCATGGCTGGCATTTCTGCGCAGAGGAATCTTATCCAGCTTCTCGGGGTCCTTTCAACGCCCGCCGCCACCCACACTCATCACACGGTTCTGTGCTGACACACACACGTCGCCACGGTGACCAGATAAACGCAAAGACGTGCTAGTGACAGAGGGGATAGCGGACCACCATGCACCCAAAGCAGAGGGCTCACAGTGTCTCTAGCTTCGTAGCACGAGGGTAGTCAAAAATATCGAAAATCAGATACAAATAGTACTACGATTTAAAGTTGAAAATAACGTTCTACTGTTTTGTGGTATCAGAATTGGTATTGAGTATCGAGTTTGTTTCTTAGTATGGAAATCAAGTTTGAACATTTTTGGATAGATTGACATAAATGGGCAAATTTATAAAGAAGAGGGAATGGCAATTTCAATGAACCAAATGTCAAGCTTTCTTTTACGTAGCTTTGAGTAAATACATACTAAAAAAATATACCCACAGGTTTCAGAATGGTGAAAAAAATTAGGACTGTAGCCATAGCAAATAAGAATTTAAAGCTAAAAGAAACTTTTAAATAGTGAAAAAAAGTCCTCAAAATAATATTGCATGTAACAGGAAGCTGAAACCCAAGAATAATTGCAGCCAAGTAAAATTTAAGGTTAGAAAAGTTAGCAACTTTTTCATACTTGAGGGGGAAAAAAATCACTAAATATATTTTTGGATTGTCAGCAGATAATTAATTCACATGGCCAGTATCCTCCAAGTACTGTAAAAAAAAAAATAAATAAACTAATAAATAAAAATAATAAAAAAAAACTTTCTGGGGCTTGACAGAAACTGCCTGAAGCTACAATTTTGCTAGAATCTGAAAACAAAAAGCATTTGGGATTTGGAGCTGAAGCGCATTACAAGAATATTCTGTTTTCTTTTACTTTCGACCTGTCCGTAGCTGTGGAGATGGCAAACAACTTTCACAACCCCAAAAAGTACATTTTAATTGACTGAAAATGGTCTGCAGATATGGCATTGTCCCAAAAATGTATCTATAAACCAGTCTACACAGTATAAAGACAACCAGACAACTTATAATGCAATCATATATGTGCTTAGTTATGCTTTATCTGAATAGAAAAACAAATTTGAAAACTTTCCATATTAGAAAACTCAACCAACAGCCATGCAAGCAACAATGTACTTTACTATAAGACTATAAACTAGAAGAATATCATGGAATTATCTGAATGCAATTTTCAAGAAAGAAAATCTTACCTTTGATGAGATGAAATGTTGGCACAGACCTCCTCTTCACCCTATAACACACACAAACAAAAAAGAATAATTAGACTGATTCAAAATTGGTGCAAAAGTGTGTAATTCATCAAATCATTGAATGAAACACAACACAACTCCGGCTATGTTTCTAATGAAGAAGCAGATTACAAACTTGATCAGAAAACAGCTTAATTTGACCATTTTATAGAGCGACATTCCCTTAAAGGCCGCCACACACTACAGGATTTTTTGGTCTTAAATGATTGGGACAAAAAGCTCACACCACAGACATGAATCTTAAGAGACTTAAAATCTCAGATCACAAAGACTTCTGCAGGATATGGCTGCGGACTATAGGCTATAAAGTTGTGAGCGTACCTTGTTTCAGCTATTTCCTGTCTACAGTAAAACCACTCGCTTTGAGACTCTTAAGTGTTCAAAAGATCAGAGCTCTGCACTTCGAGTAATACTTCACATACATGATTATGAATGCAAGAAGATTGGCGATAAAGTACATGGGAAGTAGAGTCACAATCGCAAATCTGCAGCTTCACCTCGATCCTGTGGGCTGTGTGGATGTAAACAGACACACGTAAGGAACTACTCTTGCCTTTTTACTTTTAAAGAGCACTTCATATTGGATTAAAAGCATTGTTTTGTGGACTGGGTGTCATTACTTCTGGAGGGCACAGGGTAACGCTTTATAATAACTACACCTTACTTAGCCTTAATAAAGCATGAACAAAGACTTAATTAATAATGAACAAAGATTTAATTAATAATGATTCACGCTTAGTAAATGCTTAATAAAGCATAATTCATCTTCACTTTAGAAAAGCTCTCAAAAAGACTTAACTAACAGATAACAGCTGCCTGAATTATCATTGCCTTGCATTATTAGTAAATCATTCTCTCATAGTTTACTAATGATTAATAAATACTCCAATGGTTAGTCCATGAGTAATTAAGTATGAAAACTATTTACAGCACAGGCAAATTAAGTGCAAGTGCTAATTAAGGTAGTAATTAAGTAGTTGCTAAGCGTGAATCATTATTAATTAAGTCTTTGTTCATTATTAATTAAGCCTTTGTTTATGCTTTATTAAGGCTAAATAAGGTGTATTTATTATAAAGTGTTACCGGGCACAGTTTATGGATAATATGGATATGTGGATGAAAATACTGCAGTTTAATTTTACAACTTTACAAGAGGTGTGTAATTTTTATTTTCTTTTTTTTGTGCCTGTGTGTCCATTACTCTGTTTGCCCCTTACACTCAGTTTTATTGTCTTTTACTATGTACGATCTGACAGAGCAGCTCAGAGTCACACTTACACCACACATGAGGAGCACAGCGGCTTCAAAATTATGCATGAAGACACAAAGTCATGTCACGGAGAGAAGAAATTGCACACAAAATTGAGCAAATTCTCCTGCAGTGTGTGGCGACCTTCAGTAACTAATTGCCATCTAATTGCCACAAAAGCTACAGTTTCCTTAAAGTAGTACTGTGGACCTTTTCTGGCACAGGGTTCGCCACCTGCTTGTCTTTATGGCCGTATTGCTGCTTTGTCTAGAATGTTCCAAATTCTCGTGAGCTTAAAGCCAGGTTAAAAGAACTCCAGGTATGTTTGTGATGAGGAAACAACATTACAACATAGATCAGAAAATAGAGTAATAAGAGCCCATTAGTAAACCTATCATCTCTCCTTTATTTATTGACTTGCTAAATTGCGAGGGGGAATACCTCAAAGAACACGCATTCTTTTTGTTCTTTTTGTGGACTCGCCTTTCCACAGACCTGACCTGTAACTTGACCCAGCGGCGTTCTATACTTGTCTTCACGACGATAGATAAGATGAAAACCACACCGCGAACAGTCCAAGCAAAGCAAAAGCATCTCCACGGAGACAAAAACAGCGCACACTCTAGACCAGGGGTGGGCAAACTTTTAGACTCGTGGGCCACAAAGGGTTCTAAAGTGTGACGGAAGGGTCGGACAAGGAGCAGATGGATGGAGTGTTTTGGTAATCCACCTTATAAGAGAAAAATATAAAAAGGGATATGTAGAAAACTTGTGCTTGAATTTCAGTTGAAAATCATTACAAAGCATTACAACTTTTACTCTTATAATTTATTCAAGATCGGTGGACCGGATTAAAAAGACTGAAGGGCTGCATTTGGCCCCCAGGCTGTAGTTTGCCCACCCCTGCTCTAGACCCTCCACCAGAAAAGCTACACAATGCACCTTTAAAACAGCAAATGTGTATTGTAGCCTACACCACACAGCCAAAAAAACAACAACTTGCAGTCTGAGTAAATATTAAACAAGTTTACTTTTCGGCGCATGACAGCCAACGCCTGCAGGCATTTTCTTTTTCTGCTCAAACTCAGAGTTGCCCAAACCCCATATCCAATGATTAATGTATACCGCCCATAGGCAAAGTGCTATCGCAGCGCATTTTCCAAGTTCGGCCCTCTCCATCTGGTTCCAATTCTCCCCACCTGCCCATCACTCCTCGCCATGGACAGGTGAGAGGATTACACGCTGCTGGCCCGCGCGCGCACGCACACACAAAAGCGCTCGCCGGCTCCACTTCACGCTAACTTAACGTGCCACGGACATCAGGCGAATCTGCAGCAGTAAAATGCATGTTACCGTGGCGGCGTCATTGCTCCTGATGAAGTGGTCTAGCTTTGGGGTGTAAAAGCCCCAGAGAGGTACATTACGAGACATGAAAGTGAGCGGGACGGAGGTGGGGAAATTGGGTTAAGCTGAGAGTGAGGTAGTGTGACTGCAAGGAGAGCCAGGAAAAATATTAAGGAATGTTGAAAGCATGTGCGGCTGTGGGGGGCTGCGTTGATTTAAAAGGAAGAAGAAAAAAAAAGTAAGTAGCTTCTTCAGTTCTGACATGGTTTTAAAAGTCACTGCCTTAAAAGTACAGTATGTAGAGATGGGGGCTTGCAATTCGTGCCTTGGATTCGAGTCAGAGTTGAGTCTTGACTTGATAAAAAGGACTAAGACTTGGGACTCGACTTAGACTTGAAGGTCAATGACTTGAATTCTTTCTATTCTGACTGTAATGACTCACTCTAAGATCTTGTTAAAACATTTAAAAAGGAAACATTTTGCATTTCTACAACTCTTATATACTCTGCTATGATGAACCATAAAGTACAATTTATATTAAAAGTCATATAAATTACAAAAATCTAAGCTATATTTGGTATTTTGGTTTAAAGACTTGAAATGACTTTAAGCTCAAAGCAGACGACTTGGACTTGACTTGGACTTATGGACCAGTGACTTGGATTTGAGGTGAAAGACTTGAGACTTAGTTGAGACTTGCAAAACAAAGACTTGGTCCCACCTCTGCAGGAAGTTCTCCACTGTGTTTTTAAAGTTCATCCACCTTCACTAGAATCATTTGGATGATTTCAGACCTGGAATTACCAATCTCCACTGAACTAAAGGTAAACGGTGGCTGTTGACTTGAAAACTATCGCTTCATGACAAACTGGAATGGAGCATTTTGAGTTTTTTCAGGATTATTCAAACGTGTGAATGAAACAAAACACAACTCCAGGTTTGTTTTTGAGGAGGTAACAACATTCTAACATGACTTAAAGCTCACAAGAATCTATTTTTATGTAATATAGGACCTTTAACGCAACCATATCGCACAGCCGGCTCCATAGGATCCTTGAAATTTCACGAACATACAAACCTGTATCTAGTTAAGAGTGATTGATGCCTCTAGCCTTCTCCCCAGTTAAAAAGAAGAGAGGGAAGAGAGAGCGAGAGAAAAGAGTGGAGAGCGAAGTGGAGCATTTTGAGTTTTTTCAGGATTATTCAAATGTGTGCATGAAACAAAACACAACTCCAGGTTTGTTTTTGAGGAGATAATCACATTCTAACGTGACTTAAAGCTCACAAGAATCCATTTTGTGCAATATAGGACTTGAATATTGGACTTGCCTGTATTTGACTTGACTTGACTAAGACTTGAGGTCAGAGACTTGAGACTTACTTGCAAAACAACGACTTGGTCCCACCTCTGACAGTATGTAACTTTATGGCAGTGGCACGTTCAGTGGGAAGTGAAAGTTAAAACCGTACTTAGGAACATTCTCCATGACGTGTTCTGCCATACTGTGGAGGAGTCAGGTGTGTGGAGATGCAGCCCATTCACAGTAAAGACACATGTTCATATTATGTTTCTTCCTGCGCTCATAATATGGACTGATGAGCGTCTGAAGAGAGCGTGATTTTGTGGAGTGAATGAACTGCATGATGATTTTGATAAGGTTGATGATTTTAAGGTGCTGAGAGAACTGGTTGTCAGTGAGGATACAGAATTGTTATGATGCTCTGGTCATTATGAAGACATCCGCTTTGCACATTTGATTTTATGAACTAGAACATCAACCTGTCCAGGGACGACAGGTGAAATGAGCTCTAAGCACTACAACCTGGTACACTGCATCTCTCCTTTTAAGGTTAATGTATATTGTGTACTGTCACTGTCTCATTAAATAAATAAACTAAACTTTAATTGTGTTTATTGCATTGAAAAACATAAAGTGAAAAACATGTTTTTTCGTTATGTTTTTTCTATTTTGTACTTACTTGTTTGTCGGAAGGGGGAAGCTAACTACAGTGAAAATAACACACTCTAGTGTTTCGGAACAGATGCCCGAGCCACCTCAGCTGCTCCTCTCGATGTGGAGGAGCAGCGGCTCTACTCCGAGCTCCTCCCGTGTGACTGAGCTCCTCACCCTATCTCTAAGGGAGATCACTGGACTACTGAAAGGTGTGAACTGTTACCTTAGTCATATTTTACATACTCATTCCAGTCCCTAAGGCAGACATGTCAAACTATGGCCCAGGGGCCAAATTTGGCCTGCGATCATATCATGAGATCATATCATATATGTATTAGAGCTGGCCCGCTGGCTACAGATAGGCTATAGAGACATTATTTAACATTTTGTTATCATTTTATTTTATGCTTGTTCTGGATTAAATGTTTAAGAA